CACCAGGAGATCGTGACACCAGGTGATCAGGACACAGGCACCAGGAGATCGTGACACAGGGATCAAGTGCTCGGGAAGGGAGACCTAAAACAGTCGCTCACCCAGGGAGCCTTTGGGACAAGGAACTGCTGCAGGAAGACTGAACTTGGTCCTGGGCCACCAGATCCCAGCTGTGATTGTTTTAGGACAGCCGTCGTAGATCACTGCTTAGAGACAGGGGGGGAAACAGAGAGAGCAAGAGGACGGGGAAACAGATAAGTAAAAAGCAAAAGAGAGAGGAATGAAGGGATCACTACCAGCATACTGTTAATACAACTTCAGGCTGCTGCAGTACACTGAGGCACAACTGAGTGCAATAAAATCTGAAATGTAAACACTCCTCATTCAGCATCTGATTTTCTACAGCACTAAAAGAGACAGGGAAAGTTAGCACTTGTCTAATCACATCTGCAGGAGCTGCGATTCCAAAATAGCCCTCCAGGGGGAGGCTGTAGGTATCTGTAGAATTGTTCCTAGGGTACAGTAGGTCCCCTTTTCAGGCCATAAAGGCCCATGGGGGAATGGGGGGCAAGGGCCGGCATTTTTCCTCACCCATCCGACTGGAGGTGGCAGTGCTGTGGTCAGCATCACCCTCTGGCCGGCCTGTTACCCCCGGTACTCAGGCTGAGTGGACCTGGAGAGTTTGTGTGTGTGTGTCCGTGCGTGTGTGCGCATGCGCGAGCATGTGTCTAAGTGCGTGTGTCTTTGCGTGTGTGCCTGTGCGCATGTGTGTGCGTGTGTCTCTGCGCGCGTGTGTGTGCTTTGGGGACCCCCCTCGCCCCGTTCAGGACTCACCCTCGCAGCCGTTCTGGGTGACCTCGGCAAAGGGGTTGTCGCAGGCGTTGCACTGGCGCCCCATGACGCCTGGCCGGCACTGGCACTGCCCGCTCTCGGGGTCACAGGCCCGGGAAAACGAGCCCACGGGGTAACAGTCACAGGGCAGGCAGGAGTCGCTGCCCCGCGGGCGGTAGTGGAACTCCTGCGGAGCCCGGAGACACACGGCGTCACGGTCAGAGCTCCCCACTGGACCCCTGATGGGCCCGCCTGCTACTGCTGTCATCTCGGACTGAGTGGTAGTAGCACTACTGCTGATATCAGAGTCACTATGTTGTACTAATACTCCTAGAGTAACAGTTACTAGAGGCAACGCTACTACAGGCAGAAGCGTCAGTGTTT